AGAGCGATAGTGGATCAAAAGATCGAGCCAAAGGGCCAGAACGGCTCGTGGATGACGGTGCAGGAAGGAGTTCGTCGCGTCAGGGACGAGCTGTTTGCGTTCCACGCGGAGCGGGGCGCCTTTTACAAGATAGTGCAAGAGACCTATCTGGAGGAAGAGAAGTGCGGTATCATGGAGATCGACGTGCTGAACATGTTGTATCCGCTTCTGGTGATGCAAACTCGGTCGCCGTACTTGGAGATCGTGAAGAACGCGTAAGCTTCGACGACGTGAGCTTCGACGTGAGTCGTGTTCACGACTCGATCGTTTTCAGAGCTTTGGTGGTGAGCGAGACCGGTCTGCAAACTCGCGAGGACAGCCGACTGTACACGAAGAAGCCCGAGTGCCACGGACGGACGAGCTTCGTCAGGATAGGTCTCACCGAGTGCTACTTCGCGTTGGTCGCCGTAGGCTACGGTGTGCTTCTCAGTCTCGTCGTACTGGCGGCCGAGTTTCTCTGGTGCCGGATCGAAGGCTCGATCGACCGGCGTTTAACCGAGGACAACGCGATGGCACGCAGTGAAGAAGAAACCGATCCGTTCGAACGTGAAGTGGAGGTGAGCGAGCCGAGTGCAATCGACTCGGGGAATGTTTGCAAACGCGTTAAGCGCTCAACGGTAGAAAGTGTTGATAGTAATTTTTGGTGAATTCCAGCATGAGGTCGAGTGTGCACTCGGGTAGATCTTCGACGCACTTGGCAGGATTGCCGGCGAAACGTGTGAACGAGGGGATCACCGTCTCCGGTGGAACAACCGCCCCATCCTCGATGTAGCAGCAGTCCTTCAGCACGCACCTCCTTCCCTGCGGTAGTTGAACAACCACGATTTTTACCTTGTCAACTAGCAGCGGGTATATAATAAAGCTTGTAAAGCGCGTACGTACGATCACAGCATTTTTCCCTATGTATATGTAAGAGCCGACGATCGCCGCGTTGATCACCGCCCGTTCACCGACGAACACGTGGTCTCCCATCGTCAAAGGAAAGAAGGCAACGCTGAACAAAAGGAACGACGAATTAGTCTTGGACTTTGTCTTCTTCCGCTTTTAATATCTTAGCTACCACGAGATTCCTCGCCAAGAAGAACTGTACATCGTTTGCCTAACGTTTCGTTAAACTCATACCCAGTGCTTCACACTGGTGTGCAACTACGTTGGAACAAACCTTCAATTAGAATTAAAACTTTCAAATTGATGAAACGAATAACTTGACACGTTGATTGCCACGTTGGTCACTTGTGATCAGACTTGTGCTTCAAACGTTTCAAACAAGTATGATAAAATGAATTTAGACAATTAACAAATTTTGAACGTCATAATCAACTAGGCAACAATTAAAGATTTTAATTGAAACATTATATATTATATTATCATAGAAATTAAGTAGAGTGTATTGTATTGAAACATCTAAAGTATAAATCAGGCTAAATCTTGTGACCTTTTAAGAGTATCATACAAATCTAATTTATCAATCAATGCGTTGTTTTATAAAGAATATGAAGAATAGACTAGGAAACAAATGAGCCACTATAAGTTTTGAAATTAAAAGAATGAAACAAATTCAAGTTCTTTCCAGATAAAGAATTTGGAAAATCATAACAGCATCTCTTAGATTGGGAAACAAGAGAGCCATCATAAGCTTTGAAATTGAAAGAATGAACAAGTTTGAGTTTTTTTCAGATAAAGAATTTGGAAAACCACAACAGCATTTCTTAAATTGAGAAACAAGCGAGCCATTATAAGTTTTGAAATTGAAAAAAAAGAATGAGTTTGAGTTTTTAACAAGTTTCAGTTTCCAGATAAAGAATTTGAAAAACCATAACATCTCTTAGATTGGGAAACAAGAGAGCCATTATAAGCTTTGAAATTGAAAGGATGAACAAGTTCAAGTTTTTTCCAGATAAAGAATTTGGAAAACCATAACATCTCTTAGATTGAGAAACAAGCGAGCAACTATAAGTTTTGAAATTGAAAGAACAAACAAGTATAGGTTTTCTTCATATAAAAAATTAGCAAAACCATAACAACATACAAGATATATACAGTTCTCTTGAACCGAGTGAGCCAGTTAAGAGGTTAAGAAATCGCTGATTGTTACCAACCCTCGGCTGAACTTTTTAAACGGTGGCCGTATGATGGCGTTCTTACTGATGATGCAGTAACGTCCGGTCCGAACGTTTGCGAGATCACCCCTGATGATCGCGTCCGACTGCACGATCACTTTTCCGTGTAACACGATGTTCTGCGAGCCGCAGAGAACCGTGTGCCTGCTCACCTTGTTCCCGCTAGCCTGAAACAGGATTACGTGATTACAACGCACGGAGAAAGAGGTTAGGTCGTACGTGTAACTTTTTACGCAAAAGTTCCTATTATCCGGAAACTTTCGAGTTTCGCATTGCCTACCGTTTCCACGTACTCCGCTTTGCTGTAGTAGACGTCCTGGGGTTCCATGTCGTCGCAATTTCGTACGACTGACGTTTGACTTTTCGAGAAAGAGAGACAACGACGACACCGCTGAACTGAAGACAAGTCGCGACAGACACGAGCGCCACCTGTGGCGGCGCGCGCATTTTTAAAACGATCTCAAACGAGCGGCAATGTTGATTGGACAAAAGAAGAAAGAAGAAAACGAAATATTATAATTTCAGTTGTTAAGTATCAAGCAAAGCAAGTTATATATATAACAGATTAAAATAAATAGTAGTTGCTGCGGTTTCTTGTTAATTGTCGTAATATATTTATCAGGAGTAAACCTGCATATTCCCGCCATCTGTCGACCGTACGAATCACCGACGGAGCCGATGGCGGGAAATTCGATTCCAGCGAGACTTTCGAGAAGCGAAAAGAGGAAGAAAAAAGGGAAAAGAAAACGGATGGACAATAGGGGAGGGATCAGTTGTCGCTGTCGCGTCGTCGATCGATCTAAATTAGTAAGTAAGTAAGCAAGCAATCACAGTGGAGTGCGCAATGTTTTGAAACAGCGGTTCCATGGCAACGTCGTCGACGAAGGGCGTGCAAAAAGGTAGTTTCGTCGGTGGTAAATTGCATTGCACGCGATTGCATCGCGTTTGGGACGATGTCGTTGTTCAAGACGAAAGAGTGGTGGCGAACGAGGTGCGGGGCGAACGAAACGTTCGACAGGCACAGCTTGCTGGCAGCGCCGTTATTTGGAAAGGAGAGGCAGGACATCCTGGTGGTGGGAAGCCACGATGGTTACCTGAGAATGTACAGCCCGTCGTCGCAATGGGTGGACGAGACAAAGTCGCCGACCAACTACAAGTCGACGGACCTGATGATCGAGACTCGGTTGGACGATTGCATCGTGGACTTGAAGGCGGGCAGGTTTGTCTCGTGAGTAGTAGCGTCGATCGTGTGGAAAATGGAATCACCGAGAGAGAGAGAGAGAGAGAGAGAGAGAGAGAGAG